CATTTCACTGTGTTAATACAATGTATGTTTGTGTGTGTGTGTGTGTGTGTGTGTGTGTGTGTGTGTGAGAGTGAGAGACATTTACAATTATTTTTGAAATTTAGTCCATTTAACTTTGATAGGACAATTATTTAACAAATTATTTTAGTCAACAGAAACATTTAAGTTGACTACAGTGTTAAAAATGACATTTTCATTTTTTTTTTTTTAATCCCTTAATTATAATTATTTTCATCTCATATTGATTATTGCTGTCAAAATATTAAAAAAAATCTTTATCACATATAATTTTGTTTGCCATTTAACACTGCTATTAACATTCTCTCCTCTCTCTCTCTCTCTCTCTCTCTCTCAAGATTCAAGATTAAAATGTGCTTTACTGACATGATAAACTGGTTTACATTGACAAAGCATTAGTAAACATTACACATACATGCACAATAGATGCTCTTTATAGCGGTTTGCATAAGAAGGATGGAATATGTTGCTGATTTATGTGTAGTGCGTGAGGTTCAAAAGTGCAATTGTGTTTCCATCTCATTTTGTGTGCAGCAGGAGCACAGCGTGTCCTCCTTCAGCAGCGAGGACTGTCTGTGTCTGACTTTCTTTGTGTCTAGGCTATGTTTGCTGAGTCTGTAAACAGTCAGGAGTTTAAGGTCAGGGTTGGTCACGGTAGTCAGGTATTCTGTTATGGTGTATTCTATTACAATTTCCCTCCTTTCGCCTGGAGTACAAAAGAAAACCTGAAATAAAAATGGACTCTAATTACTCTCCTAATAAATGTCCCTGGTTTTATTATGTGCAATTCATCAGTGCATATTATTCTAAAGAAAACAATGTTTGTTTTTTTTGTAGTCATTCATCAAAAGGTAATCATTTTCTCTTCAGCTTTAAAAAGCGGTTATTTTTTGCTGATGTATCCAAGGCAGAACTGTGTGTGTAAAATAACTTTAACTAGTAATAACAAAGCATTCACTTGTTCACATTTTAAACCCCACCCTGCATTATTTACTGATGAATACACAATATTAAGAACAAATTGCATCAGCTTTAAGTAGCTTTGTTTCATTTCATTATAATATAATTTTGCTTGATTCATTTTTTTTT